CTAATGTAATGTTTATTTTTATTCTTCAATTGATGGTTCAATAATTTGTTATTCTCCAAGAAGTTTTTAAAATTATTTTTAAACTCATGGTTTAAAACTATTGTTTATTAAGCATGAAGATATATACACGTTGACAAATTTGAAAATAATTTAGATGGAATGTCTATTAGTTATATTTTTTCTATTTTCATAGAATAATATAAAAACGTTTGTAATTTTTAAGAATGTCATTGTATAATTGTTATTCTTTAAGAATGATATTTTTTCCATTCTCATAGAATAATATGAGAATGTTTGTTATTCTTTAAGAGTTATATATTTTCTATTATGATAGAATAATATAAGAACGTTTGTTATTTTTAAAAATGTCACGATATAATTGTTATTCTTTAAAAATGATATTTTTTCCATTCTAATAGAATAATATAAGAATGTTTCTTATTTTTATAAATAATGATACAGTTAAACTTGTATATGACTTTTGATGTAAGATATGAATGAATATAAATGTCTAACAATGATAAATATATTTCTTTTCTTATATATATATATATAGTTTCAGGTTCATTTGAGACCATTCTAATTTTGTGAGACCGTGAGATCAAATATAAAAATAATTTTAAAATGCAAAATAAATGAAAAAAATTCAAAAATTCTTTTTTTAAATATTATTTTCTGAATTTTAATTAACTAAAAAATAAAAAATAAAATAACAAAAAATCCCATTTTTTTAAAAAAAATACGTGAAATATCTAATAGAATATTACACTGACATATTCTAAAAAATAATTTTAAAATGCAAAATAAATGGAAAAATCTAAAAATTCTTTTTTTAAATATTATTTTCGGAACTTGAATTAACTAAAAAAAATAAAAAAAATAATAAAATAATAAAAAAAATTCCATTTTTTTTAAAATACGTGAAATATTCTAATAGAATATTACACTGTACATATTCTAAAAAATAACTTTAAAATGCAAAATAAATGGAAAAATCCAAAAATTCTTTTTTTAAATATTATTTTCGGAACTTGAATTAACTAAAAAAATTAAAAAAACAAAAAAATACGTCTCACGGTCTCACAAAATTAGACCGTCTCACATAAAGCTAACCGTATATATATATATATATATATATATATATATATATATATATATATATATATATATATATATATATATATATATATATATATATATATATATATATATATAACTTGTAATTCACGACATGTTCTTCACAAATGATAATGATAATAATTGAAACTGAATTATATCAATGGAAATGTTAATAACAATCTCCAATAACAAATTATTCTTTAAGAATAGAAATTGACAACCGTAAAAGTTTAAAAAATTTTAATTTTAATATATTGATTTTGATTTTTGTTGAGTAATTTCACTTTATTGCCTAAAATATAGGTAAAGTTTGTTTCTTTCTCTTAACAAAATGTTATAAATACCATTATAATTATTTACATGTAATTATAGAGTAAACACTAGCTCATGTTATAATCTGATTATTTATGTCTACGATTGCAAGAACGAAATTTTTCTGATTATGAGGTTGTTATCTTAATACAAAAAGTACAATTGTTGATTAATATAACAGGGTCTCGTAAAGAACTAAACTTTTTATTTCTCATTTACCTACAACGTTACATAATATGGAATTTAAATTCATAGGAAGTTTAGAAATTCATAGTTTGTTTTTGGTCGCAAGGTATACCAACAACTATAAACTTAAGGTTTAGTGATACCTTTGAAATATACTATATTGTGAAGATTGTTCGGTGCAATGTTAATATTATATTAGACATGCAAACAACTCTAAATTTAAGTTTTAGTCATTTGTAAAATACTTTATGAGAAGACATTTTGGTGTAATGTTTATCTTAAGGATGCACTCTATAAGCTAACAATCATATGTTCATTTTTATATGTATCATTTTCATATTTTTCTTTATAAATAATGATAAATATTAATTACAATAATAATTATAAGGCGAGCGTCATTTCTGTAAACATCCAGCAATAGTTGCCAACGATTTATAATATATGAAATGTATACAAGTGTAGTCTGGATAAACTTTAATTAATGAGTAATCCTACATTACTTAGGTTATGTTTGACTTACTAGCTGAAAAATTAGCTTTTAGCTGAAAAGCTAGCTGATAACGGAAAAACTAGCTGTTAAATAAAAAGTCAACTGATACTTGAAATGTTAACTGATAAAAAATATTTTTTGGTAAAACTAGCTGAAATATATAAAATTAAATAAAAGGACGTTTACAAATATTTGTTTCTATAATTAATTAAGGGGTATATTTGAATTTTTTTACAAAAGCTCCTAAAAACTAGTCTAAGTAGCTTACCAAAAAGCTAGCTTATAAGCTTTTTTTTGGTTTGCCAAACACGACAACATAAAAAAACTTGAAACATAAGCTAGCCTATCAGCTAGTTGTATCGCGCCAAACACAACCTTAACGTGGATGCTTAGACTCATAAAAAAAATGATAAGCCAGACTGCCATTCCCTAATATTCTTGTAAAAGTATTTAAATCATGTGATGGTTGTTTTCACCTATTTCCTAAATAGGTTTATGTTTCCCCTTTGAACGTTTTGAACTTTTCTACATGTTTTGCCGGATACAGGTTACTAATAAGTATTATTATCAGTATTGAGTATAAGTTTCATAGTATGGCCCATTTAATATTTAAATCATGGCATGTTTGCTTTCACATAAAGTATAAATCAAGACTCATGAAAATAAACACTTTTGTTTCTATTCAAAAACTTAAACGGTCTATTCACTTGGTCATATCATGCTGGCTTGCATATGGATATCGTTAAAAATAGTAGTAATCGGACAATAAAGCATAGTAAAATGCATGGTTTGAAATTTGAATAAAGACAAACTAAAACAACAAAAAAAATATTTGTGATAAACACAACTATACATGTTTACATCATTTTCTTAGTTATATATTGGAACAATGATATTTAAGGGTAAGGAATTTTGTTACGCGTACACATTTATTTTTTTTTTTTTTTTTTTTTTGGGTACAAACCTTATTATCGAACTTGTTTATAGTGTTCAAAATAGATCATTATGTGATCAGGTATTGTAGATGTAGACATAAAAACTTGAATGATTAATATATAATACGAAACAAAAGTTTGTTACTTTATTTATTATTATTTTTTTTTTGGACTATGAGCATGATCAAATATTGCAATGTTTAGAGCAAAAAGATGTACACACTCTATATGAATTAAATACAAATCTAACTGTTATTAACTTTGTAAGTACATATATATATATATATATATATATATATATATATATATATATATATATATATATATATATATATATATATATATATATATATATATATATATATATATATATATATATATATATATTCATGAAGTACCGTTCTAAAGATATATATATTTTGCCGGCAATTGGTTACAACCAAATCAATTATTGTCAAATACTTGTACTAAAACTATATTTTCTTTAATACATGCTAAAGAAGTGATTTGTTCAACAGTGTAATTAATATATATCATACAACAATTAGGTTTTGTAAAACATGATATTATCATTTTTCTAAAGTTTTAATCCTATGATCTAGGATCTTTTTAAAAATATTGTCATCATTCAAAATGTTTGTATTTCCATATTTCTCATAAAAAGGGATAATAATTCATTGATTTGTAAGGATAACAAATTTTGTTAAGTATACATATTTAATCACTCGAGTTTTCTTTGTATATATCTTACTAATGCATTTGTTTATGGTGTTCAAAATTTGTAATTATGACCTGTAATACCCCCATAATGATATATTTTGAACGTAAAAAAAAAAGAGTTTAATGGTAAAATATATATATATAAAAAAATTAAATAATTATATATACACACATAACAAATAACAAAGTTCATTATCCTTTACAAGTCAAGTCATTAAGACAAAAAAAAAATACTAATCATATATTTATTTTGTTAGAATCATGTCTTGTTATATCATCTTGTTTAATTTTGAAAATCATACAATCTCATATTTCATCAAAGACCACCAAATATTTATGACTCTTTAATATATGTCGCTCATTTCCAAATCGCATCCCTAAAATCATCAAGTTCCTCTCTGTTTCTAGCCTTATTGTTTGTATACGTTGCATTTCTCTATTTCTAGCGTTATTTATGACTCGGATTACATTACCCTTTTTATGTTAGATCATCAAGTAACAATCGTGATGCAAATATCAATTGCTTAACATTAATCCTTCATAGATCCGAACCTCAAGTTATTTTGGCACATGAGTTATCTCATGATGCCCTCACAACATGGAGTTTATAGCAACGTTCCACAAACTAGTAAAAGACAAATTTGTCCCCATACGATTCACCAACCTAGCTAGTATTCTTCCCCTTTATCTTTATTTATTTTGCTATAAAACAACATTAAGTAAAACATAAAAAAAAAAATTATAATACTAAAGTTAACCAAAGTAAAGAATACAGTTGTTACATTTGATTGATTTGGTGGGCATCTGCATTGGATCCCATGTTTACCTCGCTTCCATAAAAACTGTTAAATTTCTATTTTTTTAGATTTTTAATTTCCATTGTTTAAAGCTTCTACTGACATCAAGAAAAGGAGTGGGGATTGGCCCTGAGAAATCACGTGGACGCTCACTTAACCATTTGTCCGTGACTCTACTAACCACCAACTTCAAGAACACCTTAAAAAACCTGCAACTTGTTATCTGATTCTTCCTTTTCTATTTTGTTTTTGCTCTTTCAAGCTACAGACACTCACTTTCATCGTATTAGTAACTAATCTATAATCCAGATCTATTGCAGATTTCGTGGTTAAAAGTCTTAGGTCAATCATGGGTTTTAATGGCGGATTCCACCATTCATTGCTTCATTAATGGAAACCCCATCTCAAAACTACAACTTTTCTTTCGAAATTTGACTTCAAATGTTTGAAATGAGAAACTCGAGAGCGGTTCTTGTTCTTTTATTTAGCTTGTGTTTTCGATTTGTATTCAGTGGTGATTTGGAATCACTTCTGGAGATAAAATCATCCATTGATCCTTCGAATTCATTGCAATGGAGAGGAAATGATTTCTGTAAATGGGAAGGAGTTCGAGAATGCTTGAGAGGTCGAGTTTCGAAACTTGTTCTTGAGAATTTGAACCTGAGTGGGACATTTGATTCAAGAATCATCAACCAGTTGGATCAAATTCGTGTTTTGAGCTTAAAGCAAAACTCAATCTCTGGTCAAATCCCCAATCTTTCCAGCTTAACCAACCTTAAATCACTCTATCTTTCATACAACAACTTTTCCGGCGAGTTTCCGGCGTCTCTCACCACCCTCCACCGTCTCAAAATCATTGTTCTTTCCGGTAACCACCTTTCCGGCGACATTCCTCATTCATTACTTGGTTTACAAAGACTGTATATTCTTTACTTAGATGACAACATGCTAACCGGAAAAATCCCACCTTTCAACCAAACCACCCTGAAATACCTAAATTTGTCCAACAATCGACTTTCCGGCGAAATCCCGATGACACGAACTTTATCAAGGTTCAACTCAACGTCGTTCATCGGTAACAATATTGATTTATTATGTAGTGATCCCTTTGGTATTCCATGTGGGGTAGTTTCCCCGACTCCGTCTTTTACTCCGGCGGATGAAACACCACCCACCACCGGAGCATCGTACCACCATCGCCGGGTAATCAAGATCATAACGATAATCACCGGTTGCATCGGTGGATTATCTTTATTGTGTGTTTTAATCATTTTACTGGCGTTAAGCTTGAAAAAGGAGAATAAAACCAAGACGGGTACGTTCGTCGGAGGTAAAGGTGTAGAATCAGCAGAAGCGGTGGGTGGTGGTGGAACAAGTGGAGACGGAGGATCTTCATGGGATGAAGAAGGTGGTGGGATGGGGTCACTGGTGTTTTGCGGCGGCGGAGATAAGCCGGAGATGAATTATAAGTTGGAGGATTTGTTGAAAGCGTCGGCGGAGACACTTGGAAGAGGTACTGTGGGGAGTACGTACAAGGCGGTGATGGAGACCGGGTTTATTGTGACAGTGAAGAGGCTGAAAGATGCCACGTGTCCTAGTCTGGAGGAGTTTCGTAGACACGTGGAGGTGATCGGGAGGCTGAGGCACAAGAATTTGGTGCCACTCAGAGCGTATTTTCATGCAAAAGAGGAACGTCTACTTGTATACGATTATTTCCCAAATGGCAGCCTCTTTTCTCTTCTTCATGGTACGCAATTAATATTATGCAATCGTTTCTATATATACTTTTTAATTTGTGAAAAAAAAAAAAAAATAGATTTTATACCAAATATACAACCAAAAAAATGTTAGCATATCTTTTTATGTTAATGTATAAATTTTTTTAATTATGTAACAAACTGACTTTTATACAAATTCATTTAAGATAAAGAAGATATGATATTTTAGTGGTTATTTGTTTAACAAGTTTCAAATATGATTGCATTAGTTTGAGTTGCATTACTTGTTAAAAAAATATATAAAATTGTTATTTAAATTAGTAAAATTTTGATTTTACTTTTGCTCCTTACTTGGCAAAAAGTTAAAAGTAGGTAACTAGTTACTAGTTAGGATGTTGCATATATTGTCGTAGAACAAAATATGGTAACATGCATGTTTTGTCTATATTCACTTTGTTGTATAATTAGAAATTAAAATATAACATTGATGTGTGAATATACATTAACCCATATTATTCTTTATGTGATGACATTATTATTCTTATTTATGCAAAAAAGTTTTTTTTATTTTTTTTATTTTTTTTATTTTCAGAAGGATAGAATCATTTTTCATTTTTATGATCTATATATGCAAATTTACTTGCAGCTTGTCTAACTAGTTGGAATGTAATTGCATCCTTTTTCTCGAAAACTAGCTTATAAATCAACTTAGATACAAACTTATATAAAAGTATGTTGCTATATTATCTAGGTTTTCATATACTTCATGACGATAGAACAAAAGAGATATAGCCATATAATTGCTTTACTTATTACAAATTTAGTTAATTTTTTAATAAATTCTTATGTATTTACAAAAAAGAAAGTATGAGATGTTAAAAAAAATGTTTTACAAAAATGATCAAATTATCAAAATATGATAAGGGAATATTTTGTATTTGAAAAATATTTTTACTTTTCAAAAACTAGTTCATTAACAAATTTTATGTTATTTTGATGATATAATCAGGCTTTTCGTATTTTCATTAAAAACTCTAACTAAAAAAACTTTGCCCTAATTAGAAATAATTTACGGCTTATTGCAGGATCAAAAACATCATCTGGAGGCAAAGGCAAACCACTTCACTGGACTTCCTGCCTCAAAATCGCCGACGATCTCGCCACCGGACTCCTCCACATCCACCAAAACCCAGGCCTCACCCACGGCAACATAAAATCATCCAACGTTCTCCTCAGCTCCGATTTCGAATCCTGCTTCACCGACTACGGCCTCGTCTCCTTCAAAAACCCCAACTCCACACACGAATCAAACCCTAATAATTCTCTCCTCCACCGTGCCCCTGAATGCAGCAACCAAAAAACACCACCATCTCAACAATCCGACGTATACAGCTTCGGCGTTCTTCTCTTAGAGCTACTAACAGGCAACCCTCCATCCCAAGCCCTAATTTCAGACAATGGCTCCGACATTCCTAAATGGGTCAACACCATAAGAGAAGAACAAACCGAATCCAGCGGCGAAACCGTATCTTCAGGTAACGAGAAACTCGCAGCGCTTCTCAACATTGCGATGGGTTGTGTGTCGGTTGTTCCAGACAACCGGCCAGCGATGAAGGATGTTTTGAAGATGATTAGGGAAACGAGAGCAGAAGCAGGTCATGTGTCGTGTAATAGCAGTGATCATTCACCTGGAAGATGGTCGGATACCGTTCAAAGCTTGCCGAGGGATAATCATAATCATCTGAATCTCAGCATATGATCATGGATAGTTGCAGTAATTCGTCTTGCTAATTAAGTAAAATTAAGTAATTATCACTCGATTACAGTAGGAATCTTGTTCTCTTCTCCTAATTGCTACCCAGCAAGCTAAACATTCTTAGCTTTTTGAAAATGGAAGTTTCTTATTGTGGGTTTGAATCGAAATGGGCAATCAAAATACATGAAGAAAATTTGGATTGAATTCTGTACTTGGAGAATCTAAAAACTGAAGAAATCGTCTTCTCACCAAGAACCTGGTTCTTGTTTCATATGCATTCCGCTTGATGAGGTGAACATCATTGTCTGTTATTATAAAACTTTCATACATTACCCTAAAAAAACCAAGAATTGTAAAATGTAAATGGAAACCTTGAAAAGAAACAATACCTGATTTTTAGTGGAGAGAATGGTATTAGCAAGATCTTCGTTCAGCGATACAGGTAGTGGAGGCCCAGGAATAAATCTCATGCTGCAAGAATTGAAGTAAAATTCATATCAATTTAAAGAAATAAAATTGACGTTCACAGAAGCAATAAAACATACTCGTTTAAAATGGCAGATATATTGTTCTTCATCTGGCTGAAGAGGTTAACATTGTCTTGAAGCTGTTAAAAATGAATTCAATTCCATTGTAATCCAATTCCTTTCCTTCCAAAAACATTTACTAATAATTACTTACCTTTAGTGCACACATATTAGTTGAGATCTGACCAATAACTTGTTTGTTTTGTTCCAACAAATGTCTTATCGAGCCTTGTAATGCTGCTTAAATAAGTAAAAATATAAATCATTATGTCAATAAAAGTAAAACAATCAAGATAAAAAATCATCTTACAAAAGTCATACATTGGAATACAAAGGAAGGAACCATGAGAGACTAACCTTCAACATGATTACCATCAGTCTGGACTCGATTATTCATTGAAACTGAAAATGGAGCCACATTAAATGTTGATATTGGTGGTAGGACACCTGGCTTTGAGGAAAATTCCACCAATTTATCCTGAATAAATATGACACTTTAATTGATAAGTATTGCATACTAATACACCAACAAGATTAGAGAGAAATAGAGTGTTTCACAATGTAAATGGAGTATTAGACATTAGTTCTTACAAGCAATTTCTTAATTATTATCTTGGGATCTTGCAAAAATCATCTCATGTAAGTCAAGCTGAGTACCTGATCATATCAAAGCCCTCATTATCCTATAAAATGCTACTATATAACAAACTACTCAAAACCTATGAGTACAACCTTAAAGACTATTATTCGATTATCTTTTTGACAATGTGCCATTAGAAAACTAAAGATGATTAAGAGACAGGTGTAAAGTAAATTCATCCAAAGAATCCAAGGACGCAACATTATTCTAATTCTAATTCCAGACTTCCCCAATATACACAGTTAGATATATGGTTATCATTTCTAGTTGATTTGAACACAAAAAATAAATTAGCTGTTTCATATATATATTTCAATAACAAAAATAACAAATAACGCTGTTTTATACCTTCTTGTCTTTTGACTTCTTCCACAAACTGAGTTCCTCATGTTTCCGTCTTTTTCTCTGTGAAAGATATGATGCGAAGATATTGATCAAAAAGTAATCTCTTAAAGTTTTATTTTAACTTTTTTAATTAATAAAAAGCAAATAATATGTTATATATTAGATAAAAAAAAAAAAAAAAAAAAAAAAAGAGTGAGAAACTCACCGCCATCCACCTACACCTGAGAGCAACATCACGAACAGTTTTATTACGCAATGTGGCAGCAATCTTGACATACCTTATAATTCCAGGTTCATTAGCATATCTACATATATTGAACAAGGTCAAGGGCATAAATGTAATTTTCCAATTTTGAAAATGTAACAAAAAGTGAACCCACTAGAGCAAGATACATACTTGAGAAGTGCTTCCTCTAGTTTATACTGTTCTTCAACAGACCACTCCACAGCCACGCCTGCTCTGTGCTTCAATTCCGGGACGGAATCAACAATAATAGAATCACAGGAATTCCCAATTCCTGTGAATGTTGAACTACTGTTGTTTACAATAGCAGAATTCGCTGAAAAAATCATGCCATGTGTACCATTCATTCGATGGAAATCCAAATCCCCAATCATACTAATCTCAGATTTGCTGTCTCTTGGGCTAGATTGGAACGATATAGCTTGTTGATTCAGGGATGAATTTTGTTGATGGTGAAAACCCGTATCCATCACAATTGATTGATTTGTTATAGAAAGGGGTATGATTAGGAAAATGGTGTTGAAGTTATGTAGCGTTTGAGCTACAAAGCGGAGGGAATTTCGTACACCCAAAACGAAAGAGGAAAGGAAATACCCATGTTTTGAAACCCTAGATTCTCAGCTCAGATAGATATAACAGCCATAAGAATAAAAATCAAAACCTCCATTGATATCATCAAGAGCAACGTTAAATCGATCCGATCCCACGAAATAAAGTAGCATAGAATTACTGAATCAGTGGTGGAAGTACCTTAGTGAAGCTGAAACCGCAATCGTAGAAACGACGAAATACCCAAAAAGGAAGAGAAGTTTCGTAAAATCTACGGAGTTCAGCAAACAAGTATCGATACAAAGAAAATTGAATTAAAAACGGGTAACTGAAAAGAGAAAAAGGAAAGTTTGATAAATTGCATCCGCTTTAGAAGGGAAGCTCTGATTGGTTGTTTGTGTCGCCGCCTTCGTTCTTTCTCTCACTACAACATTCTCTACTTGACTTTCTCTCTCTATATTTATTGGTGGCGAAAGAATAGAGAAGAGATCGTGTGGATAGATGAATGACTTTCCTTCTGCTGTTGAGCTTTTTTATAAAGTTTTGGTCTAGCAAGCAGACCAGGCCATGGGATTTAGCAAAAAGTGCGAATCGATGAGCATTTGATGCCCATTACTGTCACCATTCCACCAACCACCATGAAAGGGTGTATACCAATGATAGCCTCGATTGTCGAAAATGTTTTTCTTGAAGGTGTTTAAAGTTTAAACCTAATTTATATTTAGTTTAAACCTAAAATATAAAAAGGAATATATAAGAAAAATAACCAAAAATATATCATTGTACAAAATCAATCGATTCATAAAAATTTATTAGGCTGTGTAAGTTGATAATAAATAACATTTAATAAAAATTACTTATAATTTAACTAAAAGTGTAGAATAACATAAAAATACATATGGAAACATAATTCGGTATTTTCCAAAAGAAAATTTAAATATTCTTTTGCTTTTTCTTTCTACTTATAGTATGCTCAATGGTAAATATATCTTATCACTTAATATTTTTATCGCATCATCATCCTAATACTTTTGATTTCTAATTAAATGAGTCTTCTAATGGTTAAGATTTTCAATAGTTTTTTTTTATAAACTAACATATAAATTTCACTTACTTTCATGATGAAATTTGAACATTCGATCTTCAAGATGAGGACACAACCTAATATCATCCATGGCATTTATCATATTTTGATAAAATTAATAATAATTTAAAGCATGTGTCATCATTTCATATAAAAAGACAAATTGAAAAAAAAATAATAATATTTATTTTCTCTTTTCAAAAAGTTGAAACTTTAGCAAACATATTTGTTTTAAAACCTAGTGCAAATGCATATAATAATAATTCAACATTTTCTTTGTATACGATAATAACTCAACATTTTCTTTAGATTGATAATTTATCATTTGGGATAAATTACACCAGTCGTCCCCTATGTATGTGCTACAATGCATGTTTAATCTCTATTTTCGAAAATTAACTCGGACCATCCATCGTTTGTTTAAAATTTGAACGTTTCGTCCCTAATATGCATTTTGTTGTGATTTTAGACCATGATAGATTTTAAGTGACCATAATGCCCTTTATGTATTTTTTCCAATGAATTTAATGTCATTATTATTATTTGTAATTTAAAAAAAAAAAATATGGCTCCACCCACCCTACCCTCAACCCAATCTCCTTCACTGCCATGAAATAGAACCTCTTCCTCACATCCACCGGTGACCATGTACCTCTTGTCAAATTCTAGTATGTCCTCCTCTGATGACACTCAACTCTGGCGACTCTCAATTCTATTACCACCTAATCGTTTTTCAGGAAAAAACATATCAATTTGATAAAAGCAAACCAAAACACATCGATTTCATAAAACTAAAGCAAACCGATTTCAAAACCAAGAAAATCAATTACCACAAGAAACTAGCTTCTCCTAAATTCAACCACCAGAAAGTTATATCTACCTACGAATTTAAGTGATACGAGAGTCCAAGAGAGATACATAGGGGATTAAAGTTTAGATCCAAAATCGACATCTTTTTTACAACCTGTAAAATGTTTATTTTTTGGATGAATTCTCTAACATCGAATAAGAAACAATATGAAAGATTGAGAGAATATGAGTTTAGTGGATGAATTTCCCGGCCAACGATGGAAGTGGGGCCGTTTTTGGGAAAGATGGAAGGCAACAGTAGGTATGATGCACAAAGTTACAATCCATTTGGGGTTTGGTGAGAGGATCTTCAGAGTAGAGATGTGAGATGGTGATGGCGATGGTGTTGTTGTTAACGATTCCACCAATGATGGTTGTGTTGTTGATGATTCCACATATAATTCCTTCTTGAGTTTCAGGGTTTGATTGAGGCGATCGGTGGAAGAGGAAGATTGATTAGTCCGATTTTGGTTTATTAGTTTGGGGTGTAGGTGAAGGTGGGGGTGATGGGGAATTGTCGATGTTTGGAGTGGCTGAGAACGGGGGAGACAAAAGGTAGCGGAAGCTGTAGGAAAGGGAATGGGGGAAAGGTGGGTTCCGGTATGAATATTCATTGTTTTTTAAATCTATAAATAATAAACAAATAAAAAGAAAACATTTGCTCAAAGTATATCTTATCTTTACCACGAGCCATTTTCCGGCTAACAAATATGTGACATCCCCAGAATCTCGGCCAAAAAAAGACCGATTTCATTTATGCTTTTTAAAATAATTTTCAGAGTAAATCCTTTTAATTTTAAAAGAGATGCGGAATTTGTTCCCAAAAACAAAACATGATAAAATAGATATTTATCAAAACATTTCATAAAGAAATATGATTTCATTTCATAATCAAAAGACGGGATGTCATGTTCCGATACAGATCATAAAGCATAAACGATAGCATTACAAGTCATTCAACAAATATATACATATACAGACTTGTAAACAAAACAACTTGATGTTCGCCCATCTTAAGCTCTTGCACCACTTCCTGTAAAGTAAATCAACTGAGTGGGTTAGACTTGGGAGCCTGGTGAGCATATAGGGTTTTCAACCCACAATAATTATATTTAATTTCAACCATCAACAATAAACCCGATTACCCATTCCCGTTATCCTCACCTTACGTTCCTAAAAATAACGTCTGTTATAAGGAACCTATTTCAGGATTTTTCATCGGGACGGACATTACTGCAGAGGGGCTTCCTCAACAATAAGTATCCTAAAGGCAACCATGTGGGGGATAGAGTACACCGGTGAACACGTCGTTCACAACACCTACAGGTAATGAGCATGCTAGTGTTCCACAGGACAGTCTAGAATAGTCCGTGGTCGTCATCCATACTCTGCTGAATGACTAAAATAACACCAATAACACCGAGGCCTCTCATCTGTTTATTACACACCAATTATCTACCCATGTTCTACCCAACATATTAGTAGATAAAAATATACGTTTTTATACATAGTTTAAAAACCTGTATAACATGTTTTAATCAATACATATTCCACATAACAGATGAGGCATACACACATAACACGTATTTCATAGAGAATACATCAGATCTATAAGATAGAAGAGAGTGAATATACACTCACACGTATAACAACCAAGTATATACACATAACACGTATTTTATAGGAAATACTTCATAATATTGCGTTGGAATGAAAATAACTACACACTCACTTGATCAAAGATGATCGGGCAGCACTACGGCTTGCAGAAGAGGTGTTTCTCCGTAGATCTGGAAGATCTTCACAAAACCGGGCTCCTCGCGGGCAGCGTTTCGGCTCGGGAATAACGCTCTTCGGGATCCTCGGGGCTTCGGATCTTACTTCGGGGCTCGGGAATATTACCGGGGCTTTGGGGTATAAACGGCACGCAAATCGAGGCAAAACTTAGAGAGAGGGAAGAGTTTGAACAAGAGAAAATGGCTGAATTCGAGTTCTATTTATAGGCTGCTGGGTCTGGGATTACGCGGGGCGTACTCAAATTACGCGGGGCGTACTCGGGTTACGCGGGGCGTACTTTGACGTCACTGCGTGCGTCGACTGGTGGCACTCGAGTATTGGTCAGACAAGTTGCATCCGACTGAGTACGCGGGGCGTACTCAAATTACGCGGGGCGTAATTGACTTGTCAAACTTCTAAATTGCGTAACTTTCGCATACGAGCTCCGTTTTCGACGTTCTTTATATCCACGCGAAGGTCAGACCATACTCTACAACTTTCATTTAGACTCCGTCGGCTAATTTTGACTTTTATTTTTATTATTTATTTTTAGAAGGCCGGGACAGAAAAACTTCGTTATAAATTCATAACTTCTTCGTCTGACGTCCGTTCTCGCCTAACTTTTCATCGTTTCGCTACTAACAACAAGATCTTCGATTCTCATTTAGATTGTTTCGGCTAAAAACCGCTCGATCTCAAATCGAGTATTCGGCTGCATACTGCTAAGTCGAAACTTAGAAAATCATAACTTCCTCATACGAAGTCAGATTTGGGCGTTCCTTTTATGCACGCTCTCAGTTTAACGAAATCTACGACTTTCGTTTAGATTGCTAAGGCTAAATATCGCTCTATCTTAAATTCATATTTTACGTCACTCGGCGTCGTGTCGGTTCTGTCGCGAAACTTCGACAGGTCATAACTTCTTCGTTATAACTCGGATTTTGGCATTCCTTATATCTCCGGAATCCTTGTTTCGACCACTACAACTTTATGCAAAGATGTCGGGCTTATCTCACACTTAAATTTTGACGCTTATTTCATTCTTAATTCATTAAATTATAAAAATCAAGAAAATAAACACATAAATCACATAATTCACAAATAATACATTCTTATTATTTCAAGTTGAGTTACAAAGGTTAACCTAGACTATTACATTGCTAAAAATGGCAAGCCCAGAAACACGGGCGTTACAAAATAGCTCAACTGTGACATCCCATTTTCACGGCCAGAAAAGACCGATTTTGTTTATGCTTTATAAAAATCAGAGTACTTCTTTTAATAAAAATGTTGCGGAATTTGTTCCCATAAAAACATGATAAATACGTTATCAAAGCATTTTCGAAGAAATGTATTTTTATTCATTTAAAACATTTGGGATGTCATCGTCAATACAGAAACATAATCATAAACAGAACTTACATTCATTTACATTAGTGATCTACATCTCTTTTAAATCTCTCAGTGCAAAGTAACTTCGGATCAACACATGTGATACAAATAAGCTGGAGTGGGTCAGGTTGGGAAACCTGGTGAGTACATAGGGTTTTCAACCCACAATAATATAATTATTATATTTAAACATCAAACAATCAACCCGATTACTCATCCCCGTTATCTTCTTTGATATTCCTTAAAGAATTATCTTAAGGGTAAATCTCCTATATCATATTTACCTCACATTTCCTTATATGCTCGTTCCTAAGGCATGAATACGTAGTTACAACGTCGCCTGAACTCATAATTCATAGTAAGGGTTAGAGTATCATCACATGAATATACAGTCACAACATCACCTGGACTCGTAATTCATCACCTACAGGTTATAAGTCTGCTGGTGTTTCCATGGGTTGTCTAGAATAGTCTGTGGTCGTCATCTATACTCTAGTAGATGACTACATCTCCAAATTGTCGGACAAGGTTATAGTATATTTCATCCTACATCACCGATTCATCATCACCTTCCTATAATCACATATCTCTCATCATTTTATTTCATCACACACCAACTATTTCATCTACCCATGTTTTATCCCAACATATTTGTAGATATAAAATAAATATATATTTAAATCATTTAAAACATGTATAAAATCATTTATCCATCATAGACAGCAAGTATTCAAATAATATGCACACATAGCACGTAATTTATATAAAATACTTCATATCTATGTGTAAGATGAAAGGGACCATGCATTCACTTGAAAAGGTGGTGAATCCGAACTCAGATAGCGCTTCGCTTCTTAAAAATAATTTCCTTCGATGAAACCTAGTATTATTACCACTAGAGTTTAGTCTATTATTCGCCGAGACTAATTAATAGTTTAGCTATTATTACTATTATATAAACGTTAAACAATACTTATATAACTCATAATAATAGCCCAAGTACTTATTATAAGTTCCTAATAACGTTACTATAATTAAATAAACGATATAATAAAAATCGCGTAGGCGTAGCTCACTTACAGCGGG